TGGTATCCTCATCTCTGCTCTGACCAGCTTCCGTTGCTTAACTTTGGTGATCGTACGATCTGTGTTTCAAAGTGATTTGTCCATAAGCCCATTGAACCAAACTCATATCCAAGTTTACAACACCTGGTATCCTCATCTCTGCTCTGACCAGCTTCCCGTTGCTTAACTTTGGTGATCGTACGGGATCTGTGTTTCAAAGTGATTTGTCCATAAGCCCATTGAACAAAACTCATATCGAAATTTACAGCTACTGGTATCCCTAAATGGTCATTCATCTTGGTACCGACCAGGATTCACGTTGCTTAACTTTGGTGGTCTTACGTTCTGACGTGATTTGGCCATAAACCCATTGCATCAATCTCCTATCCAAGTTTACAGCATCTGCTATTTCCAACCGAATGTTTAACATGATGTCGCTGTAAGCATTACTATTAAAATGAATATATCACTGTATGAAATACGAGAGGCCATGAGTGCGAAAAATTAAAACGGAATCACACTGTGTTTTATATTACGTAACAGACAAAACCACGTGGCTCGACAGTTAAATTAATTCAGTCAGTTAACTCTTCTGATATGTCAACTCGAGCGCGTAGCCGTTTTACAACAAGTGCGGTTTTTAGATAACATTCAGATTACAAAGCACATGTCAGCGTGTTTTGAAGCTCTTAAATTGATGCTGACAACTAAATGTTCTATAAAAGTGAATAGTGTTTCCGTTTAACATAATTCGCCAGTTGTAGCAATTTATCTCGCCCGAATCTCTCTCGACCTGGGTATGACGATAAACTAGATTCGGCAGCAAGATCTCTGATCGGAGGATCGGTGGATTCAAGGAGTGCGGAACGGCATCTTAACTGCTGTTCTTTCCAGGTTCAACCTGACCCGGGGTGGTAGCACCTCTTAGGGTCCCAGCAATGGGCAAATAGTAGACTCCCAAACAAAAATCAGTTGCACATTTTTATACCGAAATGACCAGCAATATATTGTTTATAAAAAAAAATTACGAACAATACATTTTATGATCTACAAACTATATATCTAAAAAAAAACAACATATCTTTACTCTGAATGTTTAAAATTACGGACGAAATATTTTGATTTCGGCATCAAATAATATGGCGGTTGTTATGGGTCCTACCTTTATGGACTAAATGGACTCGTCCTATTCCTATATATATAGGGAGATTATGCCTCTCTCGAGAGCTGTCTACAGTTGACCTGTTCCAGCTAAACAGTCGAACTCTGCCTTCGGGCGGAGAGGAAACCAGACGAGGCTTCGCCGAAGGGCAGAGTCTCGTTCGGGGAGGTTGACTGCCCCTGAACACGTTTATGCAGGTCCAAAGAGGGATTAATTTTGGCCGAGCCTACGGGCTCGGAGATCCCACGTTAAACTGGCCTTGTGCTACATGTAACCCTCGTGGGGGGGGGTAACTAAATATCGCTGTCTACAGTTGAACCGCAGTCTCTGACTGCGTACGACTTCTATCGAACTCTCTGCTTTGGCAGAGATGAACCCCCACGAAGCTTTGCCGAAGGGCAAAGTTTCGTCCGGGGAGGTAGACAGGCCCTGAACCCGTCTAGGCGGATTCAAAGGGTATATTTTTAGCCGAGCCTACGGACTCGGAGAAAATCACATAAAATTCGGCCTTGTGCCACATACATTCCACGTGGGGGACTGTTAAATATCGATGTCTACAGTTCACTAGTTGACTACTGTACTTTGCCGTCAGTCGGACGTGCAACACTTTTGTATTCGTTCTTTTTATTTAATAATATGTTTTCGCTAAATTGCTGAGTTCGAGTTTTCTTTCGGACCTATTCTGGATCCACAACAGCGCTAAACAAAATCAACCATCCAACCAAACAACCAAAGATAAAGTATTCCTGAAATTTTCCAACCCTTGCTACTCAATCCCTGTTTCTATGACAGAATAACGTTCCATTTTTTGTTCAGCCAGTACAGACCTTTACGGCAAAGACACACTAGGCCACTTCCACAATATCGAATCACCCTCATTTCCCCTGTATTCAAAATGTAAGGAGAACCTTGCCTTCCCCAAAAGCTGTTACTTTGTGCAGCAGGCTTCCGCAGGGTTGATTTTCTGAATACTGACGTCTTTAACTTACGAGGCAATCATTATCTTTCCTCCTTATCTTCACTTCCAACTAATTTTATAGTAAAATTACCAACAATACATTTTGTAATCTACAAACTATATATATATATAAAAAAATAATTTTCCACTGAAAATATAAAATTATGCGCAAGATATCTGCAGTTGAAAGCATAAATTTACGTATAAAACATTTAAATTCGGACAATAAATAATGTGGCCCTAAAGGAAATCAATTCCCGAAACATTCCAATCGTTAATACTCAATCTCTATTTCCATGACAGATGTTCAGAATAACGTTCCATTCTTTTATTCCGCCAGTTCAGATCTTTACAGCTAGGACACGCTATGCCACTTCCACGGTGTCAAATCACCCTCATTTCCCCTGTATTCCAAATATAAGGAGAACCTTCCACTCAGAAAGATTCTACTCTAAAGCTGTTACTTTGTGCAGCAGACGCCCGCAGCGTTCATTTTTGAATATCGATGTCCTTAAGCCAGAAAGAAAAATCAACCGTACATATTTATAGTAAAATTACCAACACTACATTTTAAGATCTATAAAATATATATATATATATATATTTTATAGATCTTATATATATATATATATATATATATATATATATATATATATATATATATTTAAAATAAACATACCATTATTCTGAAAGTTTAGAATTATGTATAAAATATCTGTCGTTGAAAGCATAAAATTAAGTACAAATATTAAGATTTCGACATTAATTAACCCATAGAGGTGTTGGTATGCCACTAAACAAATTCAGCCAAACAATCAAGCGAATTTCTATTGCATAGTTAAAAGATTACCTTTCATCCAGGCTTTGAATAATAGTGCCATATATGATCTGGTTCTCCTGTTATATAGTAAATGATCCTTCATAAAATACAAAAAATGATCCGAAATAACAATGGACTTGACCTGGCATCTCGGTTACAGTCACTTTCTCGCCGCTGTAATGAAGCCTCCTGGTGCCTTTTTTCTATAAATAACTTCATGGAAATTGAACAGATGAAATTTCCTCTTTGTTACCTAGACTCCATGAATTTAAGAGAAGTACTAGATTGGCAGATCGGTCTCATCATTTTACTTTTGAAATGGTTCAATATAACTGTAAGTTCTATGCTAACAGTTTCTTCTCTCGCACTTCTCGCGTGTGGAGCTCTCTTCCGGTTTCTTACTTTCCAGTAAATTTCGTTCTTCAACAATTCAAATGAAATGTCAATCATTATTTTCTGTCTTTTTAATGTTACTTCTTTATCGATTTCACTCCTTAATAATGTCTTTTTATCTTTTTCTAATATATTTTCACACATATTAACCACCAATCCTGTGTATTAGAAGCTTTCTTTCATTGCTTGGGATGAAATGATTAAAAAAGAAACAAGTTAACATGGTTCAAACACTTGTATTAATCTTGTAAACAGACACTTCTTGATGAGTTGAAGTATATAGGATTTTCTGTTATATAATTCGCAAATCAAAATGAGGTTTTGCGTCTAACATGGAATACGAGAAAAAATTGGCCATAGATCCATTGCATCAAACTCCTGTCAAAGTTTACAGCGTCAGGTATTTCCAAACGGCATTTTAACAGTATATGGCCATAAGCATTACTATTAAAAAGGAATACATCACTGTAACAAAAACGGAATCACACAGTCTTTTATGACATGTAACAGATAAAAAAACACTTCCTGCTCAGATGAATGATATAGGATTTTGTGGTAAAAAATTCGAATGTCAAAATGAGGACATTGTGTCTGACTTGGAAAACGAGTTTAGATTCATTTATATGGGAATTATATTGAATTTATTCGAAACTCACAAGGGAATGTTTTTTTCCAAAACTTAGTAAAGATGAGTGTGAAAAAATATACTTGATGGGTGGTAGATGCTCAGGTATCACAATCGGTTAGCACACCGTACGTATATAGAGTAAGAAACGATATCATAAGGAATGCGGAGGTTGTGAGTTGGATCCTCAACCGGAGCAGATTTCTTTCCCAAAATATTGCATATATGGGTCAGATGAAAAATGTACCTCATGAAGGGGTGGATATTCCGGGAGCAGAATAAGTTAGTGGGCTGAACATATAGACAGTATGAGACGAAGTGATAAGAAATGCGGAGTTTGTGAGTGCGATCCTCCGGTAGCACAATCGGTTAGCGCTCCGTACTTATAGACAGTATGAGACGACATCGTAAAGAATGAGGAGATTGTGAGTTCGATCCTCACCCAGAGCATTTTTTCTTCCCCAAAATAGTGCTTATATGCGTCTGATGATAAATGTAACTGTATAACGAGGAGTGCTCTGGTAGCACAATCAGTTAGCGCGCCGTACTTATTGACAGTATGAGACGACGTCATAAGGAATGCGGAGGTTGTGAGTTAGATCCTCACCCGGAGCATTTTTTCTTCCCCCAAAATAGTGCTTATATGCGTCTGATGATAAATGTAAGTGTTCAGATAGGAGTGCTCCGGTGGCACAATCGATTAGCGCGCCGTACTTATAGACGGTATGAGACGACATCACAAGGGATGCGGAGGTTGTGAGTTCGATCCTCACCCGGAACAATTTTTTCTTCCCCAAAATAGTGCTTATATGCGTCTTATGAAAAAATGTAAGTGCACAGCTAGGAGTGCTCTGGTAGCACAATCGATTAGCATGCCGTACTTATAGACAGTATGAAAGGACGTCGTAAGGAATGCGGAGGTTGTGAGTTCGATCCTCACCCGGAGCATTTTTTCTTCCCCAAAATAGTGCTTATATGCGTCTGATGATAAATGTAAGTATACAGCGAGGAGCGAACCTGTGGCACAATCGGTTAGCGCGCCGTACTTATACACAGTATGAGACTACATCGTAAGGAATACGCAGGTTGCGAGTTCGATCCTCACCCGGGGCATTTTTTCTTCCCCAAAATAGTGCTTATATGCGTCTGATGATAAATGTAAGTGTACAGCTATGAGTGCTCCGGTAGCACAATCGATTAGCGCGCCGTACGTATAGACAGTATGAAACGACGTCGTGAGGAATGCGGAGGTTGTGAGTTCGATCCTCCCCCGGAGCATTTTTTCTTCCCCAAAATAGTGCTTATATGCGTCTGATGATAAATGTAAGTGTACAGCGTGAAGTGATCCTGTAGCACAATCGGTTAGCGCGCCGTACTTATAGACAGAATGAGACGACATCGTAAGGGATGCGGAGGTTGTGATTTCGAGCCTAACCCGGAGCATTTTTTCTTCCCCAAAATAGTGCTTATATGCGTCTGATGATAAATGTAAGTGTGTAGCGAGGAGTGCTCCGGTGGCACCATCGGTTAGCGCGCCGTACTTATAGACAGAATGAGACGACATCGTAAGTAATGCGGAGGTTCTGAGTTCGATCCTCACCCGGCGAATTTTTTCTACCGCAAAATAGTGCTTATATGCGTCTGATGATAAATGTAAGTGTACAGCGAGGGGTTCACCGGTAGCACAATCGGTTAGCGCGCCGTACTGATAGACGGAATGAGACGACGTCGTAAGGGATGCGGAGGTTGTGAGTTCGATCCTCACCCGGTGCATTTTTTCTTCCCCAAAATAGTGCTTATATGCGTCTGATGATAAATGTAAGTGTACAGGGCGGAGTGCACCGGTAGCACAATCGGTTAGCGCGCCGTACTTATAGAGAGTATGAGACGACATCATAAGGGATGCGGAGGTTGTGAGTTCGATCCTCACCCGGAGCATTTTTCTTCCCAAAATAGTGCTTATATGCGTCTGATGATAAATGTAAGTGTACGGCGAGAAGTGCTCCGGTAGCACAATCGGTTAGCGCGCCGTACTTATAGAGAGTATGAGACGAAATCATAAGGGATGCGGAGGTTGTGAGTTCAATCCTCACCCGCAGCATTTCTTCCCCAAAATAGTGCTTATATGCATCTGATGATAAATGTAAGTGTACAGCGAGAATTGCTCCGGTAGCGCAATTGGTTAGCGCGCCGTACTTATAGAGAGTATGAGACGACATCATAAAGGATGCGGAGGTTGTGAGTTCGATCCTCACCCGGTGCATTTTTTCTTCCCCAAAATAGTGCTTATATGCGTCTGATGATAAATGTAAGTGTACGGCTAGGAGTGTTCCGGTAGCACAATCGGTTAGCGCGCCGTATTTATTGACAGTATGAGACGACATCGTAAGGAATGCGAAGGTTGTGAGTTCGATCCTCACCCGGGAGATTTTTTCTTCCCTAAAATAGTGCTTATATGCGTCTGATGATAAATGTAAGTGTACAGCGAGGGGTGCTCCGGTAGCACAATCGGTTAGCGCGCCATACTTATAAACAGAATGAGACGACATCGTAAGCGATGCGGAGGTTGTGAGTTCGAGCCTCACCCGGAGCATTTTTTCTTCCCCAAAATTGTGCTTATATGCGTCTGATGATAAATGTAAGTGTACAGCAAGGGGTGCTCTGATAGCGCAATCGGTTAGCGCGCCGTACTTACAGACAGTATGAGACGACATCTTAAGGGATGCGGAGGTTGTGAGTTCGATCCTCACCCGGAGCATTTTTTCTTCCCCAAAATGGTGCTTATATGCGTTTGATGATAAATGTAAGTGTATAGCGAGGAGTTCTCCGGTAGCGCAATCGGTTAGCGCGCCGTACTTATAGACAGAATGAGACGACATCGTAAGGGATGCGGAGGTTGTGACTTCGATCCTCACCCGGTGCATTTTTTTTTTCCCCAAAATAGTGCTTATATGCGTCTGATGATAAATGTAAGTGTACAGCGAGGGGTGCTCCGGTAGCACAATCGGTTAGCGCGCCATACTTATAAACAGAATGAGACGACATCGTAAGTGATGCGGAGGTTGTGAGTTCGAGCCTCACCCGGAGCATTTCTTCCCCAAAATAGTGCTTATATGCATCTGATGATAAATGTAAGTGTACAGCGAGGAGAGATCCGGTAGCACAATCGGGTCGCGCCCCGTACTTATAGTCAGTATGAGACGACATCATAAGGGATGCGGAGGTTGTGAGTTCGATCCTCACCCGGAGCATATTTTCTTCCCCAAAATAGTGTTTATAGGCGTCTGATGATAAATGTAAGTGTACGGCGAGAAGTGCTCCGGTAGCACAATCGGTTAGCGAGCCGTACTTATAGAGAGTATGAGACGACATCATAAGGGATGCAGAGGTTGTGAGTTCGATCCTCACCCGGAGCATTTTTTCTTCCCCAAAATAGTGTTTATATGCATCTGATGATAAATGTAAGTGTACGGCGAGAAGTGCTCCGGTAGCACAATCGGATAGCGCGCCGTACTTATAGAGAGTATGAGACGACATCATAAGGGATGCGGAGGTTGTGAGTTCAATCCTCACCCGGAGCATTTCTTCCCAAAATAGTGCTTATATGCATCTGGTGATAAATGTAAGTGTACAGCGAGGAGTGCTCCGGTAGCACAATCGGGTAGCGCGCCGTACTTATAGACAGTATGAGACGACATCATAAGGGATGCGGAGGTTGTGAGTTCGATCCTCACCCGGAGCATATTTTCTTCCCAAAATAGTGTTTATATGCATCTGATGATAAATGTAAGTGTACGGCGAGAAGTGCTCCGGTAGCACAATCGGATAGCGCGCCGTACTTATAGAGAGTATGAGACGACATCATAAGGGATGCGGAGGTTGTGAGTTCAATCCTCACCCGGAGCATTTCTTCCCCAAAATAGTGCTTATATGCATCTGGTGATAAATGTAAGTGTACAGCGAGGAGTGCTCCGGTAGCACAATCGGGTAGCGCGCCGTACTTATAGACAGTATGAGACGACATCATAAGGGATGCGGAGGTTGTGAGTTCGATCCTCACCCGGAGCATATTTTCTTCCCCAAAATAGTGTTTATATGCATCTGATGATAAATGTAAGTGTACGGCGAGAAGTGCTCCGGTAGCACAATCGGATAGCGCGCCGTACTTATAGAGAGTATGAGACGACATCATAAGGGATGCGGAGGTTGTGAGTTCAATCCTCACCCGGAGCATTTCTTCCCAAAATAGTGCTTATATGCATCTGGTGATAAATGTAAGTGTACAGCGAGGAGTGCTCCGGTAGCACAATCGGGTAGCGCGCCGTACTTATAGACAGTATGAGACGACATCATAAGGGATGCGGAGGTTGTGAGTTCAATCCTCACCCGGAGCATTTCTTCCCCAAAATAGTGCTTATATGCATCTGATGATAAATGTAAGTGTACGGCGAGAAGTGCTCCGGTAGCACAATCGGTTAGCGCGCCGTACTTATAGAGAGTATGAGACGACATCATAAGTGATGCGGGAATTGTGAGTTCGATCCTCACCCGGAGCATTTTTTCTTCCCCAAAATGGTGCTTATATGCGTTTGATGATAAATGTAAGCGTATAGCGAGGAGTGCCCCGGTAGCACAATCGGTTAGCGCGCCGAATTTATAGACAGTATGAGACGACATCGTAAGGGATGCGAAGGTTGTGAGTTCGATCCTCACCCGGAGCATTTTTTCTTCCCCAAAATAGTGCTTATATGCGTCTGATGATAAATGTAAGTGTCTACAATGAGTGCTCCGGTAGCACAAACGGATAGCGCGCCGTACTTATAGACAGTATGAAACGACATCGTAAGGGATGCGGAGGTTGTGAGTTCGATCCTCACCCGGAGCTTTTTTTCTTCCCCAAAATAGAGCTTATATGCGTCTGATGATAAATGTAAGTGTACAGCAAGGGGTGCTCTGGTAGCGCAATCGGTTAGCGCGCCGTACTTACAGACTGTATGAGACGACATCGTAAGGGATGCGGATGTTGTGAGTTCGATCCTCACCCGGAGCATTTTTTCTTCCCCAAAATAGTGCTTATATGCGTCTGATGATAAATGTAAGTGTACAGCGAGTGGTTCTCCGGTAGCACAATCGGTTAGCGCGCCGTACTTACAGAGAGCATGAGACGACATCATAAGGAATGCGGAGGTTCTGAGTTCGATCCTCAACCGGAGCATTTTTCTTCCCCAAAATAGTGCTTATATGCGTCTGATGATAAATGTAAGTGTACAGCGAGGCGAGCTCCGGTAGCACAATCGGTTAGCGCGCCGTACTTATAGAGAGTATGAGACGACATCATAAGGGATGCGGAGGTTGTGAGTTCGATCCTCACCCGGAGCTTATTTTCTCCCCCAAAATAGTGTTTATATGCGTCTGATGATAAATGTAAGTGTACAGCGAGAGGTGCTCCGGTAGCACAATCGGTTAGCGCGCCGTACTTATAGAGAGTATGAGACGACATCATAAGGGATGCGGAGGTTGTGAGTTCGATCCTCACCCGGAGCATATTTTCTCCCCCAAAATAGTGCTTATATGCATCTGATGATAAATGTAAGTGTACAGCGAGGAGTGCTCCGGTAGCGCAATTGGATAGCGCGCCGTACTTACAGACTGTATGAGACGACATCTTAAGGGATGCGGAGGTTGTGAGTTCGATCCTCACCCCGAGCATTTTTTCTTCCCCAAAATAGTGCTTATATGCGTCTGATGATAAATGTAAGTGTACAGCGAGGGGTGCTCCGGTAGCACAATCGGTTAGCTCGCCATACTTATAAACAGAATGAGACGACATCGTAAGGGATGCGGAGGTTGTGAGTTCGATCCTCACCCGGAGCAATTTTTCTTCCCCAAAATTGTGCTTATATGCGTCTGATGATAAATGTAAGTGTACAGCAAGGGGTGCTCTGATAGCGCAATCGGTTAGCGCGCCGTACTTACAGACAGTATGAGACGACATCTTAAGGGATGCGGAGGTTGTGAGTTCGATCCTCACCCGGAGCATTTTTTCTTCCCCAAAATAGTGCTTATATGCGTCTGATGATAAATGTAAGTGCACAGCGAGGAGTGCACCGGTAGCACAATCGGTTAGCGCGCCGTACTTATAGAGAGTATGAGACGACATCATAAGGGATGCGGAGGTTGTGAGTTCGATCCTCACCCGGAGCATTTTTCTTCCCCAAAATAGTGCTTATATGCGTCTGATGATAAATGTAAGTGTGCGGCGACGCGTGCTCCGGTAGCACAATCGGTTAGCGCGCCGTACTTATAGAGAGTATGAGACGAAAACATAAGGGATGCGGAGGTTGTGAGTTCAATCCCCCACCCGGAGCATTTATTCCCCAAAATAGTGCTTATATGCATCTGATGATAAATGTAAGTGTACAGCGAGAAGTGCTCGGGTAGCACAATCGGTTAGCGCGCCGTACTTACAGAGAGCATGAGACGACATCATAAGGAATGCGGAGGTTATGAGTTCGATCCTCACCCGGAAAATTTTTCTTCCCCAAAATAGTGCTTATATGCGTCTGATGATAAATGTAAGTGTACAGCGAGGGGTGCTCCGGTAGCACAATCGGTTAGCGCGCCATACATATAAACAGAATGAGACGACATCGTAAGGGATGCGGAGGTTGTGAGTTCGATCCTCACCCGGAGCATTTTTTCTTCCCCAAAATACTGCTTATATGCGTCTGATGATAAATGTTTGTGTACAGCGAGGAGTGCTCCGGTAGCACAATCGGTTAGCGCGCCGTATTTATTGACAGTATGAGACGACAGCGTAAGGGATGCGGAGGTTGTGAGTTCGATCCTCACCCGGAGCATTTCTTCCCAAAAATAGTGCTTATATGCATCTGATGATAAATGTAAGTGTACATCTAGGAGTGCCCCGGTAGCACAATCGGGTAGCGCGCCGTACTTATAGACAGTATGAGACGACATCATAAGGGATGCGGAGGTTGTGAGTTCCATCCTCACCCGGAGCATTTTTTCTTCCCCAAAATAGTGCTTATATGCGTCTGATGATAAATGTAAGTGTACAGCGAGGGGTTCTCCGGTAGCACAATCGGTTAGCGCGCCGTACTTACAGAGAGCATGAGACGACATCATAAGGAATGCGGAGGTTATGAGTTCGATCCTCACCCGGAGCATTTTTCTTCCCCAAAATAGTGCTTATATGCGTCTGATGATAAATGTAAATTGTACAGCGAGGGGTTCTCCGGTAGCACAATCGGTTAGCGCGCCGTACTTACAGAGAGCATGAGACGACATCATAAGGAATGCGGAGGTTATGAGTTCGATCCTCACCCGGAGCATTTTTCTTCCCCAAAATAGTGCTTATATGCGTCTGATGATAAATTTAAGTGTACAGCGAGGCGAGCTCCGGTAGCACAATCGGATAGCGCCCCGTACTTATAGAGAGTATGAGACGACATCATAAGGGATGCGGAGGTTGTGAGTTCGATCCTCACCCGGAGCATTTCTTCCCAAAAATAGTGCTTATATGCATCTGATGATAAATGTAAGTGTACAGCGAGGAGTGCTCCGGTAGCACAATCGGGTAGCGCGCCGTACTTATAGACAGTATGAGACGACATCATAAGGGATGCGGAGGTTGTGAGTTCGATCCTCACCCGGAGCATATTTTCTTCCCCAAAATAGTGTTTATATGCGTCTGATGATAAATGTAAGTGTACAGCGAGAAGTGCTCGGGTAGCACAATCGGTTAGCGCGCCGTACTTATAGAGAGTATGAGACGACATCATAAGGGATGCGGAGGTTGTGAGTTCGATCCTCACCCGGAGCATTTTACTTCCCCAAAATGGTGCTTATATGCGTTTGATGATAAATGTAAGTGTATAGCGCGGAGGGCTCCGGTAGCACAATCGGTTAGCGCGCCGTACTTATAGACAGAATGAGACGACATCGTAAGGGATGCGGAGGTTATGACTCCGTTCCTCACCCGGTGTCTTTTTTCTTCCCCAAAATAGTGCTTATATGCGTCTGATGATAAATGTAAGTGTACAGCTAGGAGTGCCCCGGTAGCACAATCGGTTAGACCGCCGTATTTATAGACAGTATGAGACGACATCGTAAGGAATGCGAAGGTTGTGAGTTCGATCCTCACCCGGAGCATTTTTTCTTCCCCAAAATCGTGCTTATATGCGTCTGATGATAAATGTAAGTGTACAGCAATGAGTGCTCCGGTAGCACAAACGGTTAGCGCGCCGTACTTATAGACAGTATGAGACGACGTCGTAAGGGATGCGGAGGTTGTGAGTTCGATCCTCACCCGGGGCAATTTTTCTTCCCCAAAATAGTGCTTATATGCGTCTGATGATAAATGTAAGTGTAGAGCAAGGGGTGCTCTGGTAGCGCAATCGGTTAGCGCGCCGTAGTTACAGACAGTATGAGACGGCATCGTGAGAAATGCGGATGTTGTGAGTTCGATCCTCACCCGGAGAATTTTTCTTCCCCAAAATAGTGCTTATATGCGTCTGATGATAAATGTAAGTGTACCGCGAAGCGTGCTCCGGTAGCGCAATCGGTTAACACTCCGTACTTATAGACAGTATGAGACGACGTCGTAAGTAAAGCGGAGGTTGTGAGTTCGATCCTCACCCGGAGCATTTTTTCTACCGCAAAATAGTGCTTATATGCATCTGATGACAAATGTAAGTGTACCGCGGGGAGTGCTCCGGTAGCACAATCGGTTAGAGCGCCGTACTTATAGAGAGTATGAGACGACATCATAAGGGATGCGGAGGTTGTGAGTTCGATCCTCACCCGGAGCATTTTTTCTTCCCCAAAATAGTGCTTATATTTGTCTGATGATAAATGTAAGTGTACAGCTAGGAGTGTTCCGGTAGCACAATCGGTGAGCGCGCCGTATTTATTAACAGTATGAGACGACATCGTAAGGAATGGGAAGGTTGTGAGGCCGATCCTCACCCGTAGCATTTTTTCTTCCCCAAAATAGTGCTTATATGCGTCTGATGATAAATGTAAGTGTACAGCGAGAAGTGCACCGGTAGCACAATCGGTTAGCGCGCCGTACTTCTAGAGAGTATGAGACGAAATCATAAGGGATGCGGAGGTTGTGAATTCAATCCTCACCCGGAGCATTTTTCTTCCCAAAATAGTGCTTATATGCGTCTGATGATAAATGTAAGTGAACATCGAGAATTGCTCCGGTAGCGCAATCGGTTAGCGCCCCATACTTATAGAGAGTATGAGACGACATCATAAGGGATGCGGAGGTTGTGAGTTCGATCCTCATCCGGTGCATTTTTTCTTCCCCAAAATAGTGCTTATATGCGTCTGATGATAAATGTAAGTGTACCGCTAGGAGTGTTCCGGTAGCACAATCGGTTAGCGCGCCGTACTTATAAACAGACTGAGACGACATCGTAAGGGATGCGGAGGTTGTGAGTTCGATCATCAGCCGTAGCATGTTTTCTTCCCCAAAATAGTGCTTATATGCGTCTGATGATAAATGTAAGTGTACCGCGAAGCGTGCTCCGGTAGCGCAATCGGTTAACACTCCGTACTTATAGACAGTATGAGACGACGTCGTAAGTAAAGCGGAGGTTGTGAGTTCGATCCTCACCAGGAGCATTTTTTCTACCGCAAAATAGTGCTTATATGCATCTGATGACAAATGTAAGTGTACCGCGGGGAGTGCTCCGGTAGCACAATCGGTTAGAGCGCCGTACTTATAGAGAGTATGAGACGACATCATAAGGAATGCGGAGGTTGTGAGTTCGATCCTCACCCGGTGCATTTTTTCTTCCCCAAAATAGTGCTTATATGCGTCTGATGATAAATGTAAGTGTACAGCTAGGAGTGTTCCGGTAGCACAATCGGTTAGCGCGCCGTACTTATAGACAGAATGAGACGACATCGTAAGGGATGCGGAGGTTGTGATTTCGATCCTCACCCGGAGAATTTTTCTTCCCCAAAATAGTGCTTATATGCGTCTGATGATAAATGTAAGTGTACCGCGAAGCGTGCTCCGGTAGCGCAATCGGTTAACACTCCGTACTTATAGACAGTATGAGACGACGTCGTAAGTAAAGCGGAGGTTGTGAGTTCGATCCTCACCAGGAGCATTTTTTCTACCGCAAAATAGTGCTTATATGCATCTGATGACAAATGTAAGTGTACCGCGGGGAGTGCTCCGGTAGCACAATCGGTTAGAGCGCCGTACTTATAGAGAGTATGAGACGACATCATAAGGGATGCGGAGGTTGTGAGTTCGATCCTCACCCGGAGCATTTTTTTCCCCCAAAATAGTGCTTATATTTGTCTGATGATAAATGTAAGTGTACAGCTAGGAGTGTTCCGGTAGCACAATCGGTGAGCGCGCCGTATTTATTGACAGTATGAGACGACATCGTAAGGAATGGGAAGGTTGTGAGGCCGATCCTCACCCGTAGCATTTTTTCTTCCCCAAAATAGTGCTTATATGCGTCTGATGATAAATGTAAGTGCACAGCGAGAAGTGCACCGGTAGCGCAATCGGTTAGCGCGCCGTACTTCTAGAGAGTATGAGACGAAATCATAAGGGATGCGGAGGTTGTGAATTCAATCCACACCCGGAGCATTTTTTCTTCCCCAAAATAGTGCTTATATGCGTCTGATGATAAATGTAAGTGGACATCGAGAATTGCTCCGGTAGCGCAATCGGTTAGCGCCCCATACTTATAGAGAGTATGAGACGACATCATAAGGGATGCGGAGGTTGTGAGTTCGATCCTCACCCGGTGCATTTTTTCTTCCCCAAAATAGTGCTTATATGCGTCTGATGATAAATGTAAGTGTACCGCTAGGAGTGTTCCGGTAGCACAATCGGTTAGCGCGCCGTACTTATAAACAGACTGAGACGACATCGTAAGGGATGCGGAGGTTGTGAGTTCGATCCTCACCCGGAGCATTTTTTCTTCCCCAAAATGGTGCTTATATGCGTTTGATGATAAATGTAAGTGCATAGCGAGGAGTGCTCCGGTAGCACAATCGGTTAGCGCGCCGTACTTATAGACAGAATGAGACGACATCGTAAGGGATGCGGAGGTTGTGATTTCGATCCTCACCCGGTGCATTTTTTCTTCCCAAAAATAGTGCTTATATGCGTCTGATGATAAATGTAAGTGTTCAGCGAGGTGTGCTCCGGTAGCACAATCGGTTAGTGCGCCGTATTTATAGACAGTATGAGACGACATGATAAGAAATGCGGAGTTTGTGAGTTCGATTATCACTTTGAGCATGTTTTTTTCCCCATAATAGTGCTTATATAGGTCTGATGATAAATGTAACTGTATAGCGATGGGTACTCCGGTAACACAATCGGTTAGCGCGCCGTACTTATAGACAGTATGAGACGACATCATAAGGTATGCGGAGGTTGTGAGTTCGATCCTCACCCGGAGCATTTTTTCTTCCCCAAAATAGTGCTTATATGCGTCTGATGATAAATGTAAGTGTGCAGCGAGGAGTGCTCCGGTAGCACAATCGGTTAGCGCGCCGTACTTATAGGGAGTATGTGACGGCCTCATAAGGGATGCGGAGGTTGTGAGTTCGATCCTCACCCGGAGCATTTTTTCTTCTCCAAAATAGTGCTTATATGCGTCTGATGATAAATGTAAGCGTACGGCATGGAGTGCTCCGGTAGCACAATCGGTTAGCGCGCCGTACTTATAGACAGTATGAGACGATATCATAAGGGATGCGTAGGTTGTGAGTTCGATCCTCGCCCGGAGCATTTTTTCTTCCCCAAAATAGTGCTTATATGCGTCTGATGATAAATGTAACTGTAGAGCGCGAGGTGCTCCGGGAGCACAATAGGATAGCGCGCCGTACTTATAGACAGTATGAGACGACATCGTAAGAGATGCGGAGGTTGCTAGTTCGATCCTCACCCGGGTCTTTTTTTCTTCCCCAAAATAGTGCTTATATGCCTCTGATGATAAATGTAAGTGTACAGCGAGAGGTGCTCCGGTAGCACAATCGGTTAGCGCGCCGTACTTATAGACAATGTGAGACGACATCGTAAGGGATGCGGAGGTTGTGAGTTCGATCCTCACCCGGGGCATTTTTTCTTCCCCAAAATAGTGCTTATGTGCTTCTGATGATAAATGTAAGTGTGGAGCGAGGGGTGCTCCGGTAGCACAATCGGTTAGCGCGCCGTACTTATAGACAGTATGAGACGACATCGTAAGGAATGCGGAGGTTGTGGGTTCGATCCTCACCCGGAGCATTTTTTCTTCCCCAAAATCGTGCTTATATGCGTCTGATGATAAATGTAACTGTAGAGCGCGAGGTGCTCCGGTAGCACAATAGGATAGCGCGCCGTACTTGTAGACAGTATGAGACGACATCATAAGAGATGCGGAGGTTGTGTGTTCGATCCTCACCCGGAGCATTTTTTCTTCCCCAAAATAGTGCTTATATGCGTCTGATGATAAATGTAAGTGTACAACGAGGAGTGCTCCGGTATCACAATCGGTTAGCGCTTCGTACTTATAGACAGTATCAGACGACATCGTAAGGAATGCGGAGTTTGTGGGTTCGATCCTCACCCGGAGCTTTTTTTCTTCCCCAAAATCGTGCTTATATGCGTCTGATGATAAATGTAAGTCTACCGCGAAGGGTCCTCCGGTTGGACAATCTGTTAGCTCACCGTACTTATAGACAATATGAATCGACATCACAAGGAATGCAGTTGTTGTCAGTTTGATCCTCACGGGGAGCATTTTACTTTCCCTAAATATATCTTGTATGCGACTGCTGAAAGTTGTAACTCTAAAGCGAGGGTTGCTCCGGGAGCGCCATCGGTTAGCGCGCCGAGCTTATAGGCAGTATGAAACGACATCATAAGGAATGCAGTTGTTTTGAGTTCGATCCTCACGCGGCTAAATTTACTTTCCCAAAATATTGCTTATATGCGTCTGATAATAAAGGTAACTGTGAAGCGGGCGATGCTCCGGTAGCACAATCGGTTAACGCGCCGTACTTATAGGCAGTATGAGACGACATCAGAAGGAATGCCGAAGTTGTGAGTTCGATCCTCACCCGCAGCTTTTTACTTTCCCAAAATATTGCTTGTATGCCTATGATAAAACATGTAACTGTGAAGCGAGGGATTCTCCGGTAGCGCAATCGGTTTGCGCGCTGTACTTATAGGCAGTATGAGACGACATCATAGGGAGTGCGTAGGTTGTGAGTTCGATCCTCACCCGGAGCCTTTTACTTTCCCAAAATATTGCTTATATGCGTCTGATGAAAAATGTAACTCTTCGCGGATGTGTGCTCAGGTTGCACAATCTGTTAGCACGCCGTTCTCATAGACAATATGAGACGACATCATAAGGAATGCGGGGCTTGTGATTTCGATCCTCATTCTGAGCATTTTATTTTCCCAAATTATTGCTTATATGCGTCTGATGTCAAAATTTATCTTACGAGTGATGGGTGCTTCGGTAGTACTATCGGTTAGCGTGCCGTAATTATCGAGAGTCTGAGACGACATCATAAGTAATGCGGATGTTGTGAGTTCGATATTCACCCGGAGCATTTTTTCTTCCCCCAAAAAGTGCTTATATGCGTCTGATGATAAATGTAACTGTACAGCTAGGGGTGCTCCGGTAACACAATCGGTTAGCGGGCCGTACTTATAGACAGTATGAAACGACATCGTAAGGGATGCGGAGGTGGGAGTTCCATCCTCTCTCGGAGCATGTTTCTTTCACAAAATATTGCTTATGTTGTTGTGATAAAAAATATAATTGTTGGACGCCTATGTAATATCTAATCTCCTATATGGCAGTGAATTCTGGACAATCTCTTCACAGATGAAGAAGAGACTTGAAGCGACAGAGATGTGGTTCTACTGACGAGTGTCTTTAGAAACAAAGTAAAGTGTGTTGGATGGCTATGTAATATGTAATCTCCTATCTGGCAGTGAATGCTGGACAATCTCCTCACAGATGAAGAAGAGACTTGAAGCGACAGAGATGTGGTTCTACTGACAAGTGTCCTTACAAACAAAGAAAAGAGTGTTGGACGTCTATGTAATATCTAATCTCCTATATGGCAGTGAATACTGGACAATCTCCTCACAGATGAAGAAGACACTTGAAGCGACAGAGATGTGGTTCTACTGACGAGTGTCCTTAGAAACAAAGAAAGGAGTGTTGGACGGCTATGTAATATCTAATCTTCTATATGGCAGTGAATACTGGACAATCTCCTCACAGATGAAGAAGACACTTGAAGTGATAGAGATGTGGTTCTACTGACGAGTATCCTTAGAAACAAAGAAAAGAGTGTTGAACGGCTATGTAATATCTAATCTCCTATATGGCAGTGAATACTGGACAATCTCCTCACAGATGAAGAAGAGACTTGAAGCGGCAGAAATGTAGTTCTACTGACGAGTGTCCTTAGAAACAAAGAGTAGAGTGTCGAACGGCTATGTAATATCTAATCTCCTCTATGGCAGTGAATTTTAATTTCCACACCTGCTTGATTGTAGTGTCCCGGTCGTGTAAATGTCACTTCACGTTCATCCTTTTACTGATGACCATTCATTCTGTCTTCTTGTAGTTTATGCTTAGTCTCTTCTTGCTCTCCTTCGCTACATTCTGTTGAAGGTTTTGTAATTTCTTTTTGTGTCTGTGTCATCTGCATATCTTCTGTTTAGGTTGTAGCAGCTCAGTACACTTTTCTTTGTTATCAAAGAAATCCTCTCGTTTCGTGTATACTCTGCCTAGCTTTTAGAATGCGTCTTTGGCCATCCAAATACGTCCTTGGATTTCAGCGTCGCACTTACCATCCCCTGTCAAAACATTTCCCAGATAATTAAATTTCCACACCTGTTTGTTTTAAATGTGCCTTATCAAGAAATCGCATTTTGGGCTCATCTTTTACTGATAACCATGAATTCTGCCTTGTAGTTTATGCTTAGTCCCTTCTTCTCGATCACCTTCGATAGCTTCTGTGGGCTGTTTTGTAATTTCTTTTCCCTGTCTGCTATTAATACTTTGACATCTGCGTATCTTATGTTAAGATTGCGTCCGCAAATGACGACTCCATGTAGGGCCCCCAAACAGTAAACAAACAGAAGATGGGGACTGATATTCGAAGTGGGATTTGTTCAGTTTTGATTTTAATGTGTTTTCTCTGTCATTAAGAACATAAAGTTTTGATAATCGATAAGTACTCTGTAAAAAATAATTACTTTTTTGATTCTTATATTTTGTATTAACTTTCTTTTGATATTTTATTTTTTAAGTATTTAAATGCTAAATAAATTTTTTCATGTGATAATAGATTTAATTGTATAGATAAAATGTTGGATTACCCATGCAGAAAAATAATCAATGTAACTGCGAAACTCGTCCTGAGTAAGACGTTAAACTACATCCGTGTCCAGGATAAGACGATAAACTATGCCCAACAGCAAGGCCTCTGATCAGAAGGTTTTGAGGAGCGTGGAACCACCTCTTAATTGCTGGTGTCCCCAGGTCCACTCTGACCCAGTGTGGTAGCACCTATTAGGGTCCCAGCTATGGGCAAATAGTTAACCCCATCAAACTGGGTTCAAAACATTACGAAAGTATAAAACTAGATATTAATACGAGAAATACATTTTTGTAAAAGAATATTACTAACAATGAATTTTTAAATGAAATACATTTTTGGAAAAAAAAAATATTGCCAGCAACGCAGTTTTGAAAAAAATATTACCAGGAATAAAAATCTTTTTCGGCATTAAATAACCCATTGGAGCTAATATGCCGGAAAACAAAATAAACCAAACCAGACTTACTTTACAAAAATATGTCAATAAAACCTGATCTGCAAATATAATATATATATATATATATATATATATATATATATATATATATATATATATATATATATATATATATATTCTATTCATACGAACCTATCATAAAAATCTTGTCGGCACTAAATAACCCATTGAGGTGTTGATATGCCTTAAAATGAAATAAACCAAACTCTCTACATAAACCCACTTTACAAAGATACGCCAATGAAACCTAATCTACAAACTGATTTCTTACACAGAATACATATTCTATTCATACGAGTCAGTCAGTTATGTGCCAAACGTGATACATGCTTAGGAGATCATGTATTGAAAGATACATGACTGCCGAGGCAATTTTTTCCCGCAGTAGGTTTCCATTTCTTTCTGAAGTAGCTCAATTGTCATCCAAGGCTATAGAACCCGGTCTAGCTGATGGGCGGGAGGGGGAGAAGAAGAGGATTCATACTTTTCCCAGGGGTATTAGCACGTTGATTCCTCAATCCGAGCTGCTATCTATTACTCCACCGTCTATCCCAAAAAACTTGTAGGCATTGATATGCCGTAAAACACACCAAATCAAGGCAAACCAAATGTAAAACTACTTGAAAATTTATGTTATTATTTTGACGATATCAGCTTTCATTACATCATTTAATGATAAAAAAGTGTGTGCGATTTCTATGTAGCCATAGAATTAATTTTTTCGATAAAAATCCTAGATTTCCCATACGGAAAATGTAACTACTGCAAAATATGGCCGACAATTTCAATGGTCTCGTTTGTATTTTGTTTCTTTGGAGAGTTTTACATTTAATAATTTAAAATGTTAAATTATTTCTTTACATTTGAAAATATAGAGATTAAAAATCCTAGCTTACCCATGCAGAATATGTAAGCAGTGCAAGTGAAAAACTACTTAACTATTGCCACCATTTTGTGAAGGGATAGATAGTGTTAGGTTTCTTTAGATATTTTTTACTTTTAATGATTTTTTTTTTAAAAAGTAGGAATTCTTACTTCCAGGTGACAATATATTTAATTGTGTAGATAAAATCCTAGCTTAATCAAGCAGAATATGTAAGCAGTGCAAGTGAAAAATTACTTAACTATTGCCACCATTTTGTGAAGGGATAGATAGTGTTAGGTTTCTTTAGATATTTTTTACTTTTAATGATTTTTTTTTTAAAAGTAGGAATTCTTTCTTCCAGGTGACAATATATTTAATTGTGTAGATAAAAATCCTAGCTTAATCAAGCAGAATATGTAAGCAGTGCAAGTGAAAAACTACTTAACTATTGCCACCATTTTGTGAAGGGATAGATAGTGTTAGGTTTCTTTAGATATTTTTTACTTTTAATGATTTTTTTTTTTAAAAAAGTAGGAATTCTTTCTTCCAGGTGACAATATATTTAATTGTGTAGATAAAAATCCTAGCAATCAAGCAGAATATGTAAGCAGTGCAAGTGAAAAATTACTTAACTATTGCCACCATTTTGTGAAGGGATAGATAGTGTTAGGTTTCTTTAGATATTTTTTTTACTTTTAATGATTTTTTTTTAAAAAGTAGGAATTCTTTCTTCCAGGTGACAATATATTTAATTGTGTAGATAAAAATCCTAGCTTAATCAAGCAGAATATGTAAGCAGTGCAAGTGAAAAACTACTTAACTATTGCCACCATTTTGTGAAAAGATAGATAGTGTTAGGTTTCTTTTAGATATTTTTTACTTTTAATGGTTTAAAAGTGCAGAAATTCTTTCTTCCAAGAGACAACAGAATTAATTGCAGAGAGAAAAATCCTAGAGAATTCTTGCAGAATATGTAACCAATATAATTGAAAAATTAATTTAACGATTTCTACCTTTTTGTGACCTGATGGGTAGTATTAACTATCTTCGGATATCTGGATTATTTC